CCCCAAAACCCCAAAACCCCAAAACCCCAAAACCCCAAATATGCAATTATAAATGATTTTATGATTATAGACTTATTAGAGAAAAATATGAACTTAAACTCAAAATATAGATATTGAGGAGTTTTATGGATGATCCTGATAATGGCAGCGGCTAGTGATAGCTGTCCTTCTTTTACTGGAACCCAAACCACACAGTCTACTTCTGACCAAACCTTGGGATATTATAAAGTAAGTTTTATAAGAAATCGATATTTGGGAAGATGGATTTTGTTAAAGATGTTTGAAATTATGAAACTTTAAGCTTAATTTCATATGATTCTGATCTATTTAATCTAGGGAGTCCCTCTTTCAAGCTTAAGCCAAGTGATTCAGGGTTCATCAGGGACCTACCTCTTTGGAAATCTGTAAGTTCGTTGATGCAATGATTTAGAGCTAACAATACACAGATAATGATCAAGGACTCTGGAACAACATCTCTGGGTAAGTTTGATAAGAAACCAAATGTATTATTTAAGATTAGAATGAGGTAGAAAAAGAAAAGCTTGCTTTAGATCTCCAAAAATTAGATATGTTGTCGAAGAGGCTAGAAGAGATTTTCTTCTTAGATGAATTTTTGCCAAAAAATTTCATGAGATATTACTAACTTGAAGAAACTCCTATGCTTATAAAATGTCAAGAATCTTATATAAAGTTGATTTTACCTTAGATTCTTAAGATAGTCAGGTCTAGAGTTTCCATCGTATTTAGTAACTTCATTAAAATTTCAAATTTTCACTAGCTGTTAGATATTTACAATGAAGAACAATTCACATCATTTTTCTGGAAACTTAACCAAATCTTATATAGAGCAAAGTTCGGATCCCAGTAATGTATAGGTGAAATAAGTTATGTTTCAGGAACTTCTCCTTACCAAGGAACTTCCTGGATCCTCGATAATGCAGAGAATTATATCTATTTTGTTGACGAATACCTAGGGAGTACTCAAATCCAGATAGTTCGCGTTACAACAAATGGAGCTCCAGAAACAAGTTTTCGGTAACTAGGATCTCTCAACAGTTGATGACCTATTATAGAACAACTGCTGTGAACCTGGATGGTATGAGTGTGAATCTTCAGATATCAGATGATGATTCTACACTGTATATCCCTGCAAAAAGCGGAAGTAATTAGTAAATGGTTCCATTCTGATCTCTAGTTATATTTGATATTACGTCATGCCTCCATCAAACCCAACAACTCCTTCAATTAGATGTCTAAAAACAGGGACAACCGCAATTTACTACCAGCTAGAAATAGGGAATAATAAAGTGTTGCTTTTTGATTCGAACTCTTTCAAAGCTCAAGTCCGAAAAGTTGACATTATTGCTGAAACTCAAGATTGGGCAATAGAAATTAGCTGACCAACATTCCCAAGCTGCTCAATATCTTTAATAGGTAGAATTAAGGCAGTTACAAATATTGATAAGAGTATTGCATATATCTCTATTCTTGTCGGATCTGGCAGTAAAACGCTTCAAATGACTGCTATAAATACTTCAGACGGGCAGAGACAGTTCACTGTAGCCACATCAACTACTTGAACTAGTCTCAAGGAGATGACTTTTAACAACAATAAGGTGTATATGATGGCAACCTGAACAGGAACGACACTTCTTATTTATGATACATCCACAAATAATCTGACTGGAGCTTATACTCTCAATGATTCAGTGATGGCAATATCAACAATAAGCAAGGGGTAGATATTATCAACAATTTAGCACTCTCTTCGGAGGGGTCTTTGACAGTTCTTTTCCTTCAATAGTCCAGGTTTCTGATAGTAACGTTTCTTATTTTAATTCTTAGATGGATTATCAGATTCTAAAATATTCCAGGTTTCTGACATAAAAATTACGAATGCTGATACAGATTATGTAATTTCTACTGTCTCGCCTACTTTTGCAGATTCAAAAGGTATTTTATATCAATAACACTCTTACAGCCAATTTCTCATTCACCAATTCAACAAGGTACTTAAAAACACATCATCTTCAGCCTTACCCAGCACACCTTCTCAGCTACAAAAGGAACAATCACCCTAATCGGCAGTACAAACTCAACAATCATCCTCTCCCAAAGTACTCTCCCCTAACCCCCTCTAGGCCCCAAAACCCCTCTGAACGAGTCATGGCCTCTCTCCTGCACCATAAACTCCCAATCCTACCCCCTCTCCTTCTCCCACTCCTCCTCCCTCCCATCCTGGGTCCACCTCAACCCCCAAACAGGTACTCTCCCCTTCATCTCTAGGAACTCTCACTGGCACTGCTCCATTACTTCGAGACATGAGCGACGAGCAACGGTATGCTTTCAGTATAACTTCTCAATAGCACATTTATGTTTTATGAATTAGCAAATATGACTGGTAAATTTCGTTGAAAATTCTTTAGAAGCTCCCTACGCTTCATATGCAAAGTTAGTTACAATAAAAGTGGAGGATGAAGAAGTATCCAACACTGGAAAAGGAGCAACTGTTGGCAGCCAAGTTGCATCAACAATAGCTGCAGCCATAACTGCAGTTACTTCAGTATCTTCTGGGTCATCTCCTTCTGCTCTTTGGATGCTTCTTAACCAACTACAGTTGATCATTACTATTCTGTTAATAGATTCATTCACTCCAAAAGATGTGGATTACTATCTTGAGGGAACTGATTTTTCACTAATGAATTTTGATTTCTTGTCTACAGAGAAGATTCCTGGTATCAAATCGGTAGCAGATTGGATGGATGCTGCGCAACCATTCAGGAAGTTAGAACTGATAGGATATGAAACAAGAAGTGCTCTTATTAATAATTTATCATTCTGAGCAATTATGCTATTCATTCTCACAGGTCATTACTTCATGAAATATGTGTTGAGAGTTCCGAAATGGTGCAAATCAAAGAGGTGAATGCTGACCAATACTTGACTGTAAGTAACCATGAATCATAAGATATTTTAGAGTTCTTTATCCATTTGGTCGTTAATTATGTATTCCCTTTTCTTCATTTCATCATGATTTTTAAAGATCTGTATAAATTCAGCAGTTTTCTATAAGCTTTTATTCAGTAAAATTTTTGATTTTTTTAAAGAGATTACTTTCTGATTTTAAGTGAAGCTTATGGAGATTTTCATTCTTATTAAAAAAATTAAATGCTTCTAAAGTGCCAAAAATGCAACACTATTCCTTCCAAAGAGAGGTGACTCGCATATTTTTAATTTATCTTGGCTAATCCTAAATTTGGAAAATACTTTGATTGCAAAAGTATGAATTTCTTCAAAGGATACCCAAAATTTAATAGGATTAACATTTTATTTATTAAATTTTAGAATCTCAAGGATGGGACTCTTTTAGAACTTATATTTCTTCTAACAAAAGCTTGAACGAATCTTCTTCAAAATTTTACCATATCGAAACTCTGCTGTATTCTTCATACACCTAAAACCTTCCTCAAATCATTATGTAGAATAAGTTTCCTCATCAGATTGGTCTTAGAAGCTCATGAGAGCTTCTTACTCACAAGTGTTTCAGAGATATACAAGCTTGATTTCTCCAAAGGAGCCTATGTTCTTTCCATTCTAATCGCATTCCTGTTATTCTTATTCTGCCTTCTGATCATCCTTGCTGCTATCTTGTTCTTCCAGAAGCTCAGGCACAACCAGGATCCTGAGCGAAAATTCTGGTTTGCAGAAGCATTCAATGAAGTTAAGGAGACTAACCTGTGTAGACTCTACCCAATATTGTTGTTATCCAGAAGAACTATCTTCACCCTCGTGGCTATTTTCTTGACCCATACCGCTCGTGAAGCTCAATACACGTTGTTATAATCCTGTTTCAATTACTCTACCTCAGCTATATTGGTACATTACTTGCTTAATAAGTTTAGCCTGAGTCAGACCGTATGACAAAGTTCATTTGAACCTGATAGAATTCGTTAATGAGCTCTTCATAGTTGCAATCATTTTGATGCTTCTAGCGCTTAATAATTCGAGCAAGTGGGATAGCACCAGCACTGGAATTTTTGTGAATATTTTATTCTCAAACACAATAATAATTCTCTTGAGTAAGCTTCTTCTAATGATTTTAGTAAAAATTATCTTTGATTTTTCAAAATTCCTCATATCTCGCTTAAAGAAGGTAAGCTTTCCTTAATAAGTATTAGAAAAAACAAAAGGAGACCAGATCTGATAGATATCTGGACAACCAAAACAACATCACCAGACCTACATGAAACCCTTACCTCGAATCATACACTCCAAGAAATCTCAGAAAATCCCAGTAGCTAATCCTAAATTTGACTACATAACCAATCAAAAAGTTTCAATATATAAACATCCCAACGGGGTTTTGGGGTTTTGGGGTTTTGGGGG